ATTTTTTAAGTGTGGCCTTGGGATCATGGTGTTATGCATGCTTGTATTAGACATTTAATACAAATAGATCTACCGGGTACTACAAACTTAAACAGAAAATTTGCTTTTTCAGTTATTTTTGTCACTGACATTTGAAAATGGAGTTAATTCGAAATAACCAAGAAAACTGGGAAAAAAAGTGTCTTCTCTTAATATAAGGCAAAATAGAGACGTATATTCACTAACAGAAATAAATAAATTTTAGCTTGTATTGATATTTGAAAGTGTGTGTAGAAATGGTATCGGATGATGAATATTGATGATATATCAATATTGCGATATTCAATGACAGTCCTAGGAGTAACCCTCAAGTCGCTCTTCGTGTCTTACTTAAATCTGCAACTTCTGTTTGCTGTGTATTTTCTCCCATACACTTCTTAATTTTCCTCTAAAATAGGATGCTCTCCTTATGTAGTTTTCTTTAACTTATGGAAACATGCATGGCTTGATTGATCAGTTTGATCAGGGACTTTCAAATAGAAAGTAATAATTTAGCTGTACCACTTCCCAAACACAAAAGAAACAAATGAGCGGCGTCATGACAAAACCACGCAGTCTGAACAGGATCCATGCTGTTCGCTATCAGTTTCTCTACTTGTAATGAGTTGGTAAGTGAACAGCATGGATCCTGATCAGACTGCGCGGATGTGCAGGCTGGTCTGGATCCATGCTGGTTGCAAACCCATTATGTTGGTTTTGTCGTGACGCGGCTCATTTAATGATCATGGCTTTTATTATGTCCAATAAATAACATTTTGAATACAAAAATAAGACTCCAAAAAAATAAAGCTTTGAGAAGTAAAAAAGGATTAATTTGCATTTTCAGTGCTTAATTGGACTCTAAAATGACCTACTGTATAATGATAATTTTTGTTCACGGTAGTATGTTTAATAAACAAAACAAAATAGCAAAGCAAATGAATATTAGAGATAATTAAAAGGTTACTTGTAGGGTTGTAAATTACAGATGTACTCATTATACACCTTGTTTTAAAGTTTAAAGGTGGTCTTACTGTTGTAAAATGTCTTGTTAACATTCAGTGTATTATGATAAAGACAAGATATCAAATTATTAACACTGAGTAGATGATGGTAGTGACTGGCCACACAGCTTTCCTTCATTGTCAGAGGTGCTTAAAGTTTGTTAGGCTGATTATGAATGTATGAGTATAGGTTCCCTGAATTCCCTGAATGAATGAGGTTATTTTTCAAGCATACTACAGTGTTAATTTCAGTTTAGAATATTTTCAATTAAGGCTGCCTATGATTGAGTACTTTAGGTTGTTAAGAACAAATTTCTTTACCCTTATTGCTGTGGGTTCGAATCAGGCCAAGGATTCTTGCATGTGAGGAAGGTTATAATCCAGCTAGCTTGTGGAATGGTGGTGGTTTTACTTAGGGGCGTGTGTCTGTCTGAAATATTTCATGGATGGGGTACCTGAGGTCTTTCTCCACCAGTTAAGCTGGACAGTCACCAATAATGACCTTCACAGTGTTGGTATAATTAAACTAAAAATATAAGAATTAATTAAATAATTTTATTTTTTAACTAGAATGATACGTTTTTTGTCTTTTCTGCATAACCATACTAAAAATGAATTTTTATTACTTTTATTGTTGCATGTTAAAAAAAAAAGAAAATGCAATTATGTTTATTATACAGCTGAATTTAATGCAAAAACAATGATATAAAAGCTATGTAATTATGTGAACATGTGTGTCAGTGATTGATGGACAGTCTCCCTTTGTTTGCGATGTGTCCTCTACGGTATATAACATATTACGTGTGTAATGAGTAGAAATTTAATTGTTTATTTTAGTATGAAGAATTTTTGTTTTACATGCTAATTTCCATTGCAGGGTTGTCATTAAGAGGCGGCAGGAGGCCAAAATGCCTGTCTCAAATGCATTATGGGCCGCCTCAAAATTAAGAAAACACTCTTTGTTATGCATGATAAAGTGACCGCCTCAAGTTCAAAACAAACCTTCTGCAAAAAATGTTAATGACAACCCTGCATTGCCCTATATAATAAGTATATCAGCATATAACATTTTTGACTGGAATGAGTGGGAAATAGGGATATTACATGATATGATAATAGTTGAGATTTACATTATACTTTGGGTGAGTGTAAATCTAATTATAGTCGTTTTCAACAAAATTGATCATAACATAATTATGATAACCAACAATTTTAGCAAGAAGAATTTTTGGATAAATTAGCAAAGACAGGATAAATTTGTCTGATAGGTGTACATTGATGAAGTATTAAAGTAAATTAATTTTGAATTACAAGCTGGAATAAAATTTGGATAAAAATGGAAAATTATTTTAGAATATATGTAAATTTTGTAAAATTTATTTTTAGTTTAAACATATTTTATTGCATCAAATACATGTTAAATATTATACAAAATGATGACCATATAACAAAAAGCAAATGGGTTGTGTAACAAGTTCTGAGTGACATTAATTAATTTATTGCTGATATGTGACAAAATTGTGTATGTATAATTGATTAACAATTTAAAAAGAAAAATAAGTAGGTTGCTGTGGGTCTTAAATGGAAATTTTACAAGTGTTGTATTCAGATAAGGAATGTCAAGTTGTGTACCAAATATGGAATGTATACTGGTTTCATTATCATGACTAGTTTGAATGTACATTCAATTGTTACAACAACAGGACATACTTATTGTTGATAGGTCAACCTAAAATGCTGTATTTATATAGTTTAAATAAATAGAGGATATTCAAGTTTTTTCTATAAATACATGATTTATTTTCATCGAGTGGTATGAAAATAAATATTTCATGAGTGGCGGTAAAAATATGTTTCACTGCAGTGAAAAATAAATTTTTACAGTGAAAATACGGAAAATGAAAATACGCATTTTATTTCATCAATATTTCTCAATATTTCATTTATAAGTATATAATAAATTAAATTATTTTTAAGACAATGTATATATCTCAAATAGTGTTAAACTTAATTTATATTTCTTGATGCACGCACATATAAAAAAAACGTTTCTATATAAACTTTCTCGCATAAAATTAGGATCAATATGTGGCTAAGTGGTTCATGTTGCTGAGTCCCCTGCCTCTCATTGCCAAGAGTTTGAGTCTTGCCAGAGATCTTTGATTCTTTCATTTGTTGAAGCTGTCCAGCTTGTTTATGGATGGTCATTATGGTTTCTACTATGCTGCCAGCTAATGTGCCAGAAATGTTATGAACAAAGACTGTGAGGTACCATTCTGTCATGTGATAAAGTCAGACAGTGACCTTGACGGTGAAAGTGTTACCTAAGAATTCAAACCAACCTGCAACCCACAAAGTTGAAGATGAATCTTTTTAAAGACCCCTTTATGAATTTATTATCTTAATTATTTTAATTTTCCTGTTATGTAGCTGTAGTAGATTCAAATTGAGATAAGATTTAATACATTTATTAAACAAGTGCATAGATGTGACAAAATTTGAAGAAGTAATTGCCTTTGGGGCAGTTTTGAATATTTATTTGTCAATAAAGTGTGTTTATTATAATACGGTAATGTGTTGAAGAATGACAGGTTTCACTATATGTATTTATTAGGAACATTACGGTAATATGTACAAGACTGACAGGTCTCAATTGTTATGTCTAACTATATGTATTTATTAGGAACATTACGGTAATATATACAAGACTGACAGATCTCAATTGTTAGTATGTATTATTAGAAACATTACGGTAATATATACAAGACTGACAGGTCTCAATTGTTAGTATGTATTTATTACAAACATTATGGTAATATATACAAGACTGACAGGTCTCAATTGTTAGTATGTATTTTTAGAAACATTACGGTAATATATACAGTATGTATTTATTAGAAACATTATGGTAATATATACAAGACTGACAGGTCTCAATTGTTAGTATGTATTTATTAGAAACATTATGGTAATATATACAAGACTGACAGGTCTCAATTGTTAGTATGTATTTATTAGAAACATTACGGTAATATGTAAAAAAGACTGACAGGTCTCAATTGTTAGTATGTATTTATTAGAAACATTATGGTAATATATATAAGACTGACAGGTCTCAAATGTTGGTATGTATTTATTAGAAACATTACGGTAATATATACAGTATGTATTTATTAGAAACATTATGGTAATATATACAAGACTGACGGGTCTCAATTGTTAGTATGTATTTATTAGAAACATTACGGTAATATATACAAGACTGACAGGTCTCAATTGTTAGTTTGTATTTATTAGAAACATTACCGTAATATGTAAAATGACTGACAGGTCTCAATTGTTAGTACAAGTCATATTTATTAGGAACATTACAGTCCATATACAAGAATGACAGATCTCAATTGTTAGTACATGTATGCATTTATTAGGAATATAACGGTAATGTGTACAAGACTCTCAGGTCTCAATTGTTATTATGTATTTATTAGGATTATTATGGTAGTACATATTTATAAGGAGTTTTACGGTAATGTGTACATGACTGGCAGATCTCAGTTGCTAGTATGCATTTATTGGAAACATTACGGTAATATGTACAAGACTGACAGGTCTCAATTGTTATCAGTGGCGATATGATTGATGGAAACTTTAAAGTTTAACATCATTAAATGACAGATGTCTCTTTCATGTAATAAACGTTTGTGTATGTGATAGAAATACAAAATATGAAGCTTGATTATAATAATGATATCATTATGATGTCATAATTAACGTGGCTTTTAGTATTGAAAAACTGGTTGCTTCGATATATAATTTTTTTTTACTCTTTTGAACATATGGTAGGTTCATTTCATACGTGATATACAACATGTTTTTGAATAATAGTGCATTAATCAATATGTTTTTTTATGATATTTATCTAAACAATATGTTAGAATATAAAATGATGAAATCTGTTGTCTGATAAAAAAATTTGCACGGTTGATAATGAATAATGCTGGACAAATAGCGGAATAAATGTTTCAATAGGGATGAAATGTTGCATTATAATACTTAATACTAAGAGACAATTATAGTATGTGTTAAAGTAGTTTTAGTGTTTGAAATTATTTTTTTGTCCAATAGGATTGCAGTATTTCAAATAAATCACATTTAAATAACATGTTTACTTTGGTAAATTGGCAAACTGTTAATCTGAGTCTAGTAAATCGACTTTTTATAAAAATTATTTGAAACAGTCATATATTTTGATAGTCACACTTATAATGAAAAGTGTCATCTATGAGCATTAAGCTTCAAATAATAGAAGGGAGATCTTGCATCAAGTTTCTCCTTTATATGATATTTCAAGCACTTGTAGCAAACCTATTTATGCTATTTTGTATGTATTTTTTATATTGACATTGAAATTTTAGTTTATTACAGTACCCTTCAGCAGACTTTAATAAAAGAATAGGACTCGTATTAAATAAAATGAAATAAATGTAAATTTTCTTATATTTTCAGATGATAATGAGTAAAGGAAGGCAGACTTTGAAGGATTTAATAAAGTGCTGAGCAATGAGATTTTCTTGTACAAGAAATGAAATCATGGATATTAACATACAAGTATAATTTTTAAAAGATAATAAATATGAGGTTTCATTGAAATCAGTATAAGATACTGGTAGTCGCCAAATAAAAATCAAAAATGAAATTACACCAAAGTATACCCGTTGACATAGCTTATGGCTCCCTGTCACTGTTCACGACCATAGTCCATAACATTTTCCTGCTGTACCATGTGGATATGTTTGTTTCTGTGTACAAGATCGATAAAGCCTCGTTCTGGATCGGGGAAATGGTTTTCCTGGTCTGGAACTCATTAAACGACCCGCTGTTTGGATGGATAAGTGATAAAAAGTATTTGTCGTCAGGAAAAAGTCACGATTTTTCAGTAACTAGTATAGTTCTTCAAAGATTAGACGCACTATTGTGGACGGGGCCTTTTTTCGCTGTGTCTTTTATGTCGTTCTGGGTACAATGGGCATACCCAGGATTACAGTTTGTAATATGTCTGTGTCTTTATGACAGTTTTCTGACAATGATCGATCTTCATCATTCCGCATTATTGGCAGATATTGCGATATCTGGCGACACAAGAACAAGACTGAATTCACGAGCATCGCTTTTTAGTATCCTCGGTTCAGGCTCAGTGTTTCTGTCTTATGCTGTGTGGAATAAGGATAATTTACGATCATTCCGTGTATTCTGTGCAATTCTAACATTACTGTCGTTACTAGGCTTTTATGTGATGACAAGGGTGCTGAAACAAGTGTTCCAGAAAAACGTGGAAAACCTGGATAAACATGTAGCTGACAACTCATTAGTCAGGTAACAATGGACAACGTCCTTCGTAGACATTTTATATATTTATTACATGTAAATTTTCTTGATATTATGTAATATATAGAAGATATTGAATCTAAGAGTAGTATTATGCGCTGAATTATGGGTTCTACTGAAGGTGGATTGAATCTCAACACAATGTTCCGTTTTATATATTTTAATGTTAATATTTCTTAGTGGAATTCCACAAATAATATATAACATATACACAGGTTATCCTTATGTTTACAAATAGATATTAAAAAATAGTAACAAATAGTTCTAGTGGAGAGCCACAACATTATCACTTGGAAATCCAAAATCTAACTGTTCGATTTCTCTATCTTTACAATATTTCTAAAAATGGTTTCGTTTTAAACAGACCAATAAAATTTTAACATTTTTGTGTCTTAAATAACAAAATGACCAATCAGGTTTCAATACAAAATAAGGTAACATAGCAACATAGAATTTATAACAACAATCATCACCTGGACATTTTATCAGTAATAAGGTTTAACAACTTATTAAGTACAGACGGCTAAATTGACATTATCCCCTAAATATAATAAAACTTTTAGCACAGTTGATTGGACAAAGAGGAAAAGCCATATTTAATCTTCCGGTTACATAATTATTAATTTGACATCTGTTATTAAAACATATAATATTTGTAACTTAACATATTTGAAATTTCACACATTGTTCTGAAAATTTGACCTTTTAGAAAATGATTATATTTATAAATCTTTGTGTTTAAAAGAAAATCATCATGCATATTTATTCATTTTTTTTTAAAGAATTTTATCATTTTTCTGCTGCACAACACTTCTCCCTCCTTTAAGATTATTTCACTCCTGTGAAATGAAACATAACTATGTATGTAACAAAAATAAATATTATTAAAAGAATACTGTTTAGGTAAGATATTCAGTCACAGAAATACATTGTGAACGTAAAGCACCGATTTTGCTAAAAAGCATAAGTACCATCCACTTATAATATATCCTATTTACTGTTTTATTATAAACAATACATTTTTAATAACGTCTACTTCTGTTATACTGCCCCCTCTGTCCTTGCTGTCTTCCATGATTATATTGGCCTCCTCTCCATTCATGTCCGAACCCGGTTTCGCACGCATTTGAAAGATCTTGATTTCTGTTCCCTCTTTTTCGACATAGATATTTTGTTTTGTCTTTCAACTGGGCAATTTCATCTTTCAAGGTGTGGTTTTCATCTTTCAAGTCATCTATTTGATCGTTCTTTCTTGATTCCATCATCATAATTTCATAGGCTTTCTGGTTGTGCTTCAATCTCAGTTGTTCATAGTCATCATTTAGTTTTTTAAATTCTAATATCAGTTTGTCCATTTTCTCTAGTTTTGACAAGTCAGCCCTTAATTTTTCTTTTAGCGAGTTGTTTTCTTGCAACAATGCTTCTTGAAAATTACATATTTGTGATTTCTTGAGGGAAATCTCATTCTGCAGGTTTTCATTAAAGTTTTTAAGTCTTTGATTTTTCAAAATTAGAGCCACATTTTCTGATTTTAAACCGTGAATTGTTTTATTCATTGAATCATTTAAAGATTGTATCTTCTGAAATTCTGCTTTAGAAACGTTACTAACAGAGTTGTTTGTTAAAATATACTTAAAGAAGGCATCGTCTTCGTTATAGAATGGTAACATGTTTTCTGCTGTCTTACGTCTGTTAAAAGTTGTCATACGTTCTTGATCCCGTTGTTTAGATAGACTTGACTTGACTGCTTGATTTCGGCAAACTCGTGCAAAATGTCCAATTCTCTTGCATTTGTTGCATCTTGCCATTTCTGCACAACACTTCTCCTTTCTGTTATAATGATTAAGTCCACATTGTCCACATGATTTTTCACTTCTGAATGGTATTCCATATGTGAAACTCATTGTTGTTCTTCTTGGGGAAGTTGAATTCGTAGTCTCGCTTGCTAAATTGAGAGGTTGGGAAAGACACTGATTCCCACCAAGTATTATGCGCTGAATTATGGGTTCTACTGAAGGTGGATTGAATCTCAACACAATGTTCCGTTTTATATATTTTAATGTTAATCTTTCTTAGTGGAATTCCACAAATAATATATAACATATACACAGGTTATCCTTATGTTTACAAATAGATATTAAAAAATAGTAACAAATAGTTCTAGTGGAGAGCCACAACGTTATCACTTGGAAATCCAAAATCTAACTGTTCGATTTCTCTATCTTTACAATATTTCTAAAAATGGTTTCGTTTTAAACTGACCAATAAAATTTTAACATTTTTGTGTCTTAAATAACAAAATGACCAATCAGGTTTCAATACAAAATAAGGTAACATAGCAACATAGAATTTATAAACAATCATCACCTGGACATTTTATCAGTAATAAGGTTTAACAACTTATTAAGTACAGACGGCTAAATTGACATTATCACCTAAATATAATAAAACTTTCAGCACCATTGATTGGACAAGGAGGAAAAGCCACATTTATTCTTCCGGTTACATAATTATTAATTTGACATCTGTTATTAAAACATATAATATTTGTAACTTAACATATTTGAAATTTCACACATTGTTCTGAAAATTTGACCTTTTAGAAAATGATTATATTTATAAATCTTTGTGTTTAAAAGAAAATCATCATGCATATTTATTCATTTTTTTTAAAGAATTTTGTCATTTTTCTGCTGCACAACAGTAGGTTCAATACTGAATTTATTGAGCAAGTTGAAAAAAATTATATCATGCAAGCCTCTGACAAGCATAATACATTTTGAATTACATTATTCAACTTGTTAAATGAATTTAGTAATGAAGTTTTATGAATATATTCTATTTATCACATATCCAAAATAAAAGTGATTTCAGTAAAAGTCGATCACTTTTTCATAGATGCACTTATAGTGTGACGCTGACACTTAGCGATTGTTTACGCTCTGTTTGTATAATGCAAATGATGTCGCATCAAAATATATGCATGGCCATGCAAATTACCATATCGACGGAGTTGCAAAAGCAGCATGGGTATGTGATTAAGAGGTATACAAAACAGTTCTTGTGGAAAACATTTAATATTGTAAATGGGTGTAAAAGAAATTAACTAAAAATATATATGAGTATATTTTAATATGTAAATAACAAGAAGTCTTTTCATTGATAAAATGCTTGTTTATACATGTATATATAATACAATAGTGAATAATTTATAAACATTTGCAATTTCGATTGGCTTAATTGAAAGAATGGTTGGTGAACTGACATCAAAGCAATACATGTACTATGCTCAAATTTTACATTAGAAAATATTGATAATTGCTACATTGTCTCTTTGTAATTATAAATAAACATGTTTTGACTTCAAACATAGTAGATATGTTATGTTTAAAATTCTACTCACTAATTAGGTGGTCACAATAAGAATATATAGATTCGTAAAACAACTGGCATTTGTTTTTTTTAAAGAAAACACCAACTTTACTTTACCTATAATATGGAATTTCCAATACATAGTTTATTCATTCTTTTATTAAAATTAGATATATTCTGTAAGTGTTATTATAGATTTTAATAATTTTCTGTGAATGTAATATTTTACTCAAGGATGAGCATAGTATATCTGTAAAAAAATGAAATTCATTATTGGAAATTTCTACTTTATCGTATAAGTACCTAATCTCACACCCAACCTATTCTCAAACCTTTCATTCATGTGCTGTTATTTTTTTACTAGAAGTGACTATGATGTCCTGAACTTGTGTGCATAAAAGCTTAGTTTCTGACAGACATGTCTGCTGATGTCAAATGAAAACAGTGCATAGGAACAAATATTTACATAACATATTTTATTACTTAGCGTAATTTCATACAAATTGCTATTACCTTTGTAAGTCCCATAAATACACCATTAACTATTTGTGAAAATGAATATTATAGACAAAAATATCTTAAAGCAGGTAACTGCATCGTGTAGGGTACTTCATTGTCATGTGATAGTCATATAACAATCACTTCGTTGGCTAAACTAAACAGTAGAATTTTAGAGATACTTGAAGGGGTTTGAGATTAGGTTCTTTATTTTAAGAGGCCATGTTAGTTTTAAAACAGAGGGTTGTGCTTTTCCAAGATGGAAATAGAGCTTTTTTAATAGTTGAATTTCAGTCAAATTTTACAGAAATGTTACATAAAGATTAAAGTGTACATATGTAAAGAATTTTTATAAAGATATATTTTTATTTACATTAAAAGACCTCTTGAATGCTTAGAGGTTTGAGAACTGGTTAGTCCACGATACATTCATAGTAAAATTATATGACCCAATTATATAGAAGAATACTAACAAATATTGTTGAAAATATTTTATAGATAGTAATAAACATTATTGAAATATCATAAAAAGCAAAGAAAAATCAATTTTTTTTGGCCATATCCCTGAAAACATTGAACTACATGTACATGGTATAAACCTTTGCAATAGACTAAAATACAATAAAAGGAATCTGGACTGGTTTTCTTTCTGTTACAGGAGTGAAGATGATAGTGATAAACAAAAATTGAAGTCGTTTGTGAAAGAATTAATGACACAGTCCAACTTTAAATGGTTTGCAGTCATGAATCTAATACAGGTATTACTAATTTACCAATCAATATTTTAAGTTTTATTATTATTGTAGATATCTATGTTTAATTTAGTGTATACAAATTTATTTTAGTTTGATTGTGTTGGAAGCTATAAGCTTATTAGAAAACTCTCGAATCTGTTCCTGGAACCAACCAGTACTAAGCAATGAATGTAAAGTTTCAGCAATCCTTAGATTGCTATTCTGACGTGTTAACCACTCAGCCACATGGACACTCAATGGTTAATTTGGATAAGATAATTGTCACAACAAAACCAACATAGTGGGTTTGCGACCAGCATGGATCCTGACCAGCCTTCGCATCTGCGCAGTCTGATCAGAATCCATGCTGTTCGCTATCAGTTTCTCTACTTGTAATAGGGTTTGTAAGCGAACAGCATGTATCCTGATCAGATTGAGTGGATGCGCAGGCTGGTCTGGATCCATGCAGGTCGCAAACGCACTATGTTGGTTTTGTCATGACACGGCTCATATGTTTTCTTTATTATGCAATTTTAGTGCCTGAAATAATTCAGAAAGGAGCACTTGAGGTCATCTACCACCAGTAAGGCTGGAAAGCTGCCATATAACCTCTACAGTGTCTTTGTGACTTCAAATTGAATTGAAAATAAAAAAAACAACAACAAACAATGAAGAATTTTTCTTTTTTATTCTCATGCCTTATTCAGAGATAATGACATAATATAATGTATATTCTTGTCCTTCAGAGAAAATTTATTTGTATTTAATTAAACATTTTACAATTATAATGATTATTTTTCTTATATTGTATTTATTTCAGGTCTTTCACTGTCATTTTAACAGCAATTTTTTCCCTTTATTTCTTGAAAACCTTCTTGGGGACGCTATTAGTCCAGGAATGGGGCCATTTTTAATAGGTGAGAAAATTTTATTTTTGACTTGTACCTTGGTTTATATTGCAAAATTTATTTTAGTTGGATCGTGTAGGAAGTTAAAAGCAAATAGACACACTTTCAAATCAGTTCCTGGAACCAGCCAGTACTAAGTAAAGAGTGTAAAGTTTCTTGCTCAAGGAAACAACAACTTGTCTCTAACAGGGTTTGAACCTATGTGGCTAGTGATCATTAGATTGCTACTCTGATGTGTAAACCATTCGGCCATGCCCCCACTTTAGAGTGTAAACAAATCGACCATGCTGCCACTTCAGAAGTAACTTGTAGCTTGACAGAGTTGTTTCCAATTATTAGCACATGATTTAGTTTGTGCGAGTGTGCATTTTTATACACGGTTGTTTTAATCTTCACCCTGCTGGTAGAAATATCATTAAAATCAGGCCCCATGAAGAAAAGATCAGGATCAGATGATCCTGATTTTATTTTCATTGTTTTATAAAAAACTAAAATTGATTTTATTTTGCTAGAATTAACTGATGCATTTGCTGATTTCAGAGAAATGATCATATTTTGGGATTAAACTGATAAATAACAATACAAATATAAAAATATTTGGATCAAAATAAGATCAGTACAATTATTTGGAACAACTGTAAAATAGACATATCTGGTTCTACTCAGGTGCCCGTTTGTGCCTGAAATAATGCACAAAAGGGGACCCTGAGGTCTTCCTCCACCAGTAAAGCTGGAACGTCGCCATATGAACAATACTGTGTCGATGTGATGTAAAACCCAATCAAACAAACAAAACACAGTATCATATATTTGAGGTGCATATTTTGTGATTTTTGAAAAATTTTCTTGTGTTTTATTTTTCAGGTATATCGTTTGTAGCACCTCATATCAACAACCTGTATTTCCTATCACTGTGTCGTAAATACGGGGTATACTCTGTGATTCGAATACTGTTCTGTGTTAAACTTGCCCTGAGTATAGTCATGTTTTTGGCGGGACCAAATTATCTGTGGCTACTCTGCTTCTTTATTGCCAGGTAACTTTTTGTTTCTGTTAGATCACCTTACATTGATAAACAATAGATCTACTAGTTCCCTGTTTGAACTGACCAGAGATATTAAGCAATAGATCTACTGGTTCCCTGAATGACCAGAATTATGGTTCTAAATTTATGGGCCCTTAAAGAGTCATATATTGTTTTTTGTTTTTTTAGAATCCATCATGGCCATAGCAGAATTTAATGTTTAGTAATATAAATGTATATTTTATTCATACTTGGGCAAAACAACACATAGGAAAAGATATATATGTGGTGTAATTTAGTTATGGTTGAGAGCTTTAAATGACCTTGAACTTCAAGGTGGAGTATGTAATTTTATCTAAATTCTGTAGAACTTCATAATTTATTTTAGGATTTAAAAAAAAAAAAATTCAAATTCTTATAAAGTTTTTGTATTCTGCGACTACAAAAAGTGTATTTTTTATGCCCCCGGGCATATAGTGATTGAACCGTCCGTCCGTCCATCTGTCCATACAAGGTTAACCTAGAACAGCAAGTTGGATTTTTCTTAAGTTCTACCTGTACCAATGGCTTCTTAGTTTACACACTTACTAATCAATACAAAGTACAATGATCTGGTCAAGTTACATAACTATGGCTTCCATATTTACCAAGTTATTGCTCTTTTCAGCACTTAGAAAATGAATAATGGTTAACCTAAAACGGCAAGTTGGAAATATCTTAAGTTCTATCTATACTAATGGCTTCATTATTTCCACACTTACTTATCAATACAAAGAACATGACATATAACTGTGTCATCCATATTTCCCAGTTATTTCCCTTTTTTCACTTTGAAAATAGAGCCTTGTCTGGTTAACCTATTTCGGCAAGTTGGATTTATCGTAAATTTCTCTTAATTGCTTAATTTATTTAATGATATCTTGCATATTTGGTAGGTGGATACCTTTAATGGTCCTCTAATTTTTTGTGGAGTAAGTGGTCTCTAGGGTCAAGGTCACTGGTTTAGAAAATAAATTTAAACATTTTTGCTCATACAGCCTTTATTTTTTGGTTGATGTCTTTCATGTTTAATACAAACATGCCAAGGGAGGTCCTCCTTCTTTGGGTATAGTAAGGGGTCATTTGGGTCAAGGTCAATGTCACCAATGTCAAGGTCACCAATGTTAAAAATAGATTTTTACATTTTTACAGGTGTATTAACCATATTCTATAGACAGATGTCTTTTATAATTGATAGGAACATAAAATTTGATGGAGTTAATGGTCAGTTGGGTCAAGGTCACAAGTGCTAAAAGTAGATTTTTACACTTTTGCCCATACAGCCTTTATTTATTGACAGATTTATTTCATATTTAGTTGGAAGATAACTTGCATGGTATTCTTCCTTTGGATGGAGTTAGGGGTCAGTTTGATCAAGGTCATCAATGCTCAAAATAGATTTTAACATTTTTGCCCATACAGCCTTTATTTATCGACAGGTGTATTTCATATTTGGTAGGAAGATAACTTGCATGATATTCTATAGGTGTCAGTGGGTCCAGGTCAAGGGTGCCAACTAAAGATTTCTTACATTTATATATATTTGATAAAGTTGAATATCTATTACTTCACAAGTCATAGCAATGACTTGGCAACTTATATATTTCAAAAATACAAAATGCCATGACTCTGTCAAGCTATATAACTTGTGTTTACAATTTTTTGGCAATGTTTCTGTCCATAACTGAGTGAATGGGTAAACATTTTTTGAAATATTGCTACTGACAAGAATCGGAGTCGGGGGCATTTGTGTTTAACAAGCACGTTCTTGTTTTTAAGTCTTTAGGGCTGAAACGTGAATAAAAATCCACTTGTGATTTTATTTAACAGTTATAGTTATTATTGAAATAATTAAAACAGATCACATCAAGGTCATATTTTTAGAATTTATTATACTTGCTAAAACGTTGACATAGTAAAGTTCCTTTCACTGCTTGCATTTGAAAAATTTGAATGTTTAAATTGATTTCAGTAATCGTGTGTTCACAGAAGGTACTTGTAAATTGTTAAATCTAGTCATCAGTGATCTTGTAGATGAGGATTACGTACTTCACCATAGAAACCAGGCCGTTTCAGCGCTCATGTTCGGTACTGCGGCTCTCTTGTCAAAACCTGGCCAAACCTTGGCACCACTGATTGGAACCTGGCTCCTGGCGCAGCAAACTGGTATGCAAAGTTTATTTTATTTAACAGAATTATAGATAGAAAAAAATGTGAATTCACTTAATTTTGTGGACATGTAATTTTGTGGTTTGTCACAAAGAACATTTCCGTGGGTACTTAAATTGGTTATTTTCTAAAATGTAAAATGAAAAAAATGTGATGTAAAATAATCTTACAGCAGAGAAAAAAAAAATTTCTGGGATGTTGATTTCATTGATTGACCTGTCCACTAAAACCATGAATATACAAAAGTGCCCCATGAATAATAATGATTTACATGTGTTTTGATTGGATAAGCAAGAATGCTTAATTAATGTAAAAAACACTTGCTGAGAAAACGCTTGTGTAATATCAGAAAAAATGAAATACAGCCGTGACAAATCAAGAATAGAATTGTCAGCTCTGAATTGCGTTCTGGCCCAATAGCAAGTAATCATTTCACTATTGGTTATACATGAAAGGTTTAATAATGGTGCAATGGAAACACAGTGTGATTAAATAGTCAAGAAATGAAATACAGGCGGGCGTTTCACTAACATTCCGTAAGTTTTGCGTATCTTTCTACGTAAATTTGGACTTAAGCAAAACGTAAATTTACGTAAGTTGCGTTTCACTAAACAGAATATGCATTTTTTGCGCGTAATAAGTGAGTGTAACTTTACATTTAAACTTACGCAAATGCGTAGCTAAGAAAGGTTAGTGAATCACAAATAAATACTTAAGTTCTGCTTACGCAAAAAGTTGCGTTCAAACTCAAGTTACGAAAAATAAGTATGTTAGTGAAACGCACCCCTGATGAATAAATTTGTTGAATTTCTTTCAGTTTCAACTTATTTATTCAATAGTTTTCAATGTCAAACATTTGTTTTATATTTTTTCAATAAATAATTTAGAGAATGTTACATGTTTAAATACTGAAGGAATAATAGTGCTGAACGTGCAGTAATTGTACAGGTTACACAAAATGCAAACAAAGTAGTATTTTGACTTCCATACAAAATACTAATTCATTATACATATTGCTGACAGAGCAAAAGCAAGAATAGATAGTTCATGTATACGGAAAATTAGTATTATTTTTGAAACTGTAAAAGTTACCAAAAATGTTTTTGACAAATAAAATTGATAGCATTTCTGAGGGATAATGGGCCTTTAATTAGAAAATGATGTAATGTAATAATGGAATAATTATTTGTTCTCATTTTGATTCTACAGGTCATGATATATTTGCCACTGGTCAAGAGCTTGGATCTATAAAACCTCTACACAGTTTAGAAGATTCTAAGGCAGTGTCCGACTACAGGGAGGGATGTTTCAATCTTCTTGTGTATGTCCCAGTAGTATGTGCCGTCACCCAGCTTGCTGCGTGGTCGCAGTTTAGTCTACGTGGAAAACGGTTACAGTGGGTAAAAGCCATTAGAGAAGGAACGACGCATTATGTCTAACTGCTCAAACTTTATGTCTAAAAATATTCAAAATTATGTCACACACAATAGATCTATTTTTATAATTTCAATATTATGTCTTTAAGCTTTAATTTTATGTCTAAAATTTCAACATTACAACTCCTGAAGTTTAAATATTATGCCTGAAAGGTACAAATTTTTGTTTAAAAATTGCAATCTTTTATCTTAAGATATTTAACATTATGTCTAAAAGTTTTGTACAAATTATTTTATAGAAATGACAACACTGTGTCAGAAATCTTTGATGAAGTATTTAAGTCTTCAACATCTTATTCTGAAAGGTTTAACAATGTGCCTGACAAATTTAAAATTATGTCTTAAATTTTCACCTTGTGTCTTAGATAGCTAAGGTTATGTTTTTACACAAAATCAATTTTGAGATTTTACCATTATGTCTAGAATATTAAATTTTATGTCTTAAGATTTCAACAACATCTTTTTTGATTATTTCAAAATAATGTTCTAAAAATTTCAACATTTAGTATAAAAATCCGCGCAGTCTGATCAGGATCCATGCTGTTCGTTATCAGTTCCTCTACTTGTTATAGGGTTTGCAAACGAACAGCATGGATTCTGATCAGACTGCGCGGATGCACAGGCTGGTCTGGGTCGCAAACGCATAAAGTTGGTTTTGTCGTGATGCGGCTCATATATAATATAGTGTTGGCAGCTCAATTTTAGAATTTTGATACAGAAACCCCTTAAAATAATAATGGAAAGCTCGAAAACTCAGAGCAGGGCAAGTCCATTTTTCAAATTTGGTGATTTTATTGTTAGTTTCTTGAGCAAGATACTCACAGGTGTTTTTATGAATTGTGCAGTACATATATATGATTTTATGAAACAAAACAGAAGTTTTCTTACTCATTTGAAGTGTATAAAGCTCCGTAAAAATGGTATTGCATATATTTTCATTACATTATTTCATTTACATTAAACAAACATAGTGTAAAGCACGCTAATTGTTAGCTTTACACTATAGGGGCGTCAATGAAAAATGACTCTTTTGCACTTTTATCAGTCTTTATTATGGATATATGATAAATAGAATATTATATTCGTGTAGGTTCATTACTGAATTTATTGAACTCGTTGAATGAATATTTTGCTTGCCAGAGGCTTGCATGATATATAATTTTATTCAACTTGTTCAATAAATTCAGTATTGAACCTACACTCATTCAATATCCACTATATATTGACAAACAATCAAAGGTTGAGTTAATAGTTATTTTCACATAGATCATGTAGAAATGATATTGTTTGAAATTTCAGTTGAAATTTATAGGAAATGTTTATATATGTTTATGCTCTTTGTACATTAATGTACTGACAGTGGCTGGAATGTTTTTTGGTGCTAAATATATGTGCTACTGATAATGATGTGATAGTAGATTAAATTTTATTTATAAAAAAAACAGCAATTTTTTAAGGTGGTAACTCAAACAGCTATGTTGAATCAAAATTGTAAACAAATTATATAATGATAATTAATAAGAGAAGACAAACATACAATATTGCATAAATGTTTTCTCAACTTATTATTTTCAGTAGTATTGGTACATTGTATTTTATCAAAATTGGTGTTATTACTTAAAAGTTAGTGATATGTCATAGAATTTAGTGGCATTTTCTGAAATGTACTGGTATTGTTAAAGTGACATTATGCTCATTTTCTCGTTGTCAAGTTGAGCTGAATTGGCTATATATTTAAAAAGATTTATAATCATAATAGTCATTGACCAGTAAAAAGACTGACCGACTCTTTTTATCAATTGAACAATTACGATATATTCTGAAGGATATTTGAGCTGCGTCATGACAAAACCAACATAGTGCGTTTGCGACCAGCATGGATCCAGACTAGTCTGTGCATCCGCGCAGTCTGATCAGGATCCCTGCTGTTCGCTTACAAACCCTATAACAAGTAGAGAGAAACTGATAGCGAACAGCATGGATCCTGATCAGACTGCGCAGGCTGGTCTGGTGCAAACCCAATATGTTGGTTTTGTCATGACGTGGCTCATTTATAGAATTTTCTGTGAGTCACTTGGATAATTGATAATACACATGAACTAGACTATAAAATTGAATACAATTATGGCAAAATCTAAAGGTATTTTGACTTTGACCTGCATGCCCATTATTTACACTTGGATGGGCATAATGTCACTTTGTGTAAAAAAAAATGTGATATCAAATTTTTTGGAATTTTCTCAAATTAAATGATGTTTGATCAAATGTTAGGGAATTTTCCTGATTGAAGTGGCATTTCTCAAATGTAGTGGTGTGTTAAATATATATATATATTTGTAGAATGAACTGTCCTCATTGTAATGTGCCTTCACTTTGTTAAAAATATGTGAATTATATCACACTTCAGTATATTTGTTATTGTAAAATTTACGATAATATTGTAAGTTTGATAACTGGAATGAAATTAATTATTTAAACATACACCCAGTGTGTTTTACTCAACATATTCAAAAAGCCTAATTTTAGCACGTCTATTTCAGAAAAAAGTTCAGCTGTCATGATCACTGAGGCAGCATCAACGTCATTTTCATTGTGCAAAAATCTTAATGTAGCTCATTACATCAAACATTTTAAAAAGTATCAACATGAAAATTAGAATACTTGCTTACCATGACAAGGTGCACTTGTCTAGCACTTGTTACACAAGGGACATAAGTCTGAAAGGAATTCTTTTGGAGTTGTGGCTCTTTTTTTAACTTAGATTTTTTTTTTTCACAGATGAGCGTCAAAACCACATGTGATGCTCTTTTTAGTATCTCTCGTACACACTTTTATTGTTTTATAGTTAAGTTGTAAGAGTATTGTTTTTAGCATGATTATTGAATAGTGGTAGTGCAATCTAATCTTGACAGTATTGACTTAAAATTTGGTTAAAGTTTTAATAAAAGTGCAATTTTATTGTATTGTTAATCACTTAATTATTCTACTTAAACTTCACACATGTCTTTCAGGTCCATTAATAATAACCATCCATAATAGTTATAAGGGAATTATCAAGATCTTTAACATTAGCATATAGATATTTACAGAATTACACCCTTGTGAAAGCTCAGAAAATTCCTGACTTACATCGCTGTCCACAATAATCAGAATGTTTTTACCATGTTTAAGGAAGACCCATAACTCAGGCATTGATTTTGTACTGATTTAACTCCCTTTGTGAATTCCTGTTGTAAAATTTTGAGTGCAAATGATCTCGACAACCACTGAAGATGCTTTGGTCGAGGGGTTAAAGTCGATGACTTCTAATCCCGTTACCTCTGGTGTGGGTTCGATCCCTGGGAGATGCTTTGGTAGTTTTGCACGGAGGAATGTAGTCTAGTACTGGTGTAACTCTCCAGGAACAATGGTTAGGAAACTACCCACCTATATAACTGAAATACTGTTGGGAAAAGGCGTAAACAAACAAACAAATTGACTGGTAAATTCTTTTTTCATCAGTGATATTCACTTAAAGATCCTGTATGTTGTAATTAAGGATGTCACATACAGTTAAGTGAAGTTTTATATAATTTATTATGTATATAATTATTCTTCTAAAACAATTTCTAAACATCCAAGACTGTGTTAGATATGTACAGCAAATGTTTATATACATTACATGTATAATTAAACGTTAAAATTAAGGCATTCATTTTGTTATTGAAAAAAAACAACTGACTAAGTCTTTATCGAAAATAAATTTCTAATTACCTCCCTTTATTTACATGAAATGTTAAAGTCGATTATATCTTTACAAATAATCCTTTTTGAAACTTACAGTATTGACAAATCTTCATATGATCATCAGATTTATGATATAAAACCATAAAAAATTGCATTACAGGATCTTTAATACAGTGCAACCTCTGCAACGCAACAACTTTTAAAAGGGGAAAAAACAACATTTTAGTTGTTGCTGTAGAGAGACTAAAGTCAGTGTTAAATCTTCGTTTTTTTTTTTTAAAAATTTGATCTTGTTATTTTAAAGAGGTTTAGTCCTACAGATGGCCACACTGTAGAGGTTACACTGTAATTATGATCATTATTTTAACCTCATTGGTCAAATACCAATACTTATGGTCACTGAATCAGGTAACTAGGATTTATTTTGTCATGAATTTGTTACGGAGGTTTGAAATATAGACCAATCCAAAATTAAAATACTGTAATCATATAACCTAGAATGTAAAGAATTTCCTTTATTTAAAACCAATCAAAAATATATTGTAGATCTTATTTAGCTCACCTGTCACAAAGTGACAGTGTGAGCTTTTGTGATCGCTTTTTGCCCAGCATCTGTCCGTCCTCTGTCCCTCGTCCGTCCGTCCGTCCGTCCGTAAACTTTTACTTTAAATGACATCTCCTCATAAACCACTAAGCCAATTATATCCAAACTTCACAGGAATGTTCCTTTGGTGGTCACCTTTAAAAATTGTTCAAAGAATTTAATTCCATGCAGAACTCTGGTTGCCATGGCAACCGAAAGAAATTTTTTTAAATATCTTCTTTTAAAAAAACCCAAAGAGCTAGAGCTAAGATATTTGGCATGAAACATCTTTTAGTGAGTGTCTTCCAAGTTTGTTCAAATAAAAGCCCTGGGGTCAAAATTGGCCCCGCCCCAGGGGGTCATTGATTTTCCCTATATGCATATAGTAAAAACTTAAAAAATCTTCTTTTAAAGAACCCAAAGAGCTAGAGCTAAGATATTTAGCATTAAACATGTTCTAATGGGTGTCTACCAAATTTGTACAAATAAAAGCCATGGGGTCAAAATTGACCCCACCCCAGGGGGGTCATTGATTTTCCCTATATACATATAGTAAAAACTTTAAAAATCTTCTTTTAAAGAACCCAAAGAGCTAGAGTTTAGATATTGAGCATGAAACATGTTCTTATGGGTGTCTACCAAGTTTGTTCAAATAAGAGCCCTGGGGTCAAAATTGGCCCCGCCCCATGGTCATTGATTTTCTTAATAATTTATGTGTATAGCAAAAACCTAAAAAGTCTTCTTTGAAAAAATCCAAACAGCTAGAGTTTAGATACTAAGCCTGAAACATCTTCTAGTGAGTGTCTACAAAATTTGTTCAAATAAAAGCCCTAGGGTCAAAATTGGCCCCGCCCCGGGGGTCATTAATTTTCCTTATATGTGTATAGCAAAAACTTAAAAAATCTTCTTTGAAAAAAAAAACAAATAGCTAGAGTTTAGATATGAAGCATGAAACATCTTCTAATGAGTGTCTACAAAGTTTGTTCCAATATTATCCCTTGGGTCAAAAGTGGCCCCGCCCCAGGGGTGTCATTGTTTTTAACTATATGTGCATAGTAAAAACTTAAAATCTTCTTTTAAAAAACCCAAAGAGCTAGAGCTTAGATATTTGGCATGAAACATCTTCAAGTGAGTGTCTACCAAGTTTGTTCAAATAAAAGCCCTGGTGTCAAAATTGGCCCCGCCCCAGGGGGTCATT